ATGCGCCACCATGTGGCGCACGATGCGCATGCACGCGCGGCCAGGCGAGCTCGCCAGCGCAAAAACGGCCTGGTACGCAATGTGTTAATACACATGACGATTGGATACACTAAAAAGGCAGTATACCGGCTCATGGACTGAATTTTGTGCAATTCAACTCAATTTTGTGCAAGCCCAATTGCCCGACATTGAGCCCCGCAAAGATTGGCCAGCCAAAACCTTCGTTTTGAATGTATCGGATTATTTACTGTGGTCGATATTGAAGCTGAAGAAGTGCGCGAAACAACACACGCCGTTCGAATGGATCACTGAGAGCTTCAAAACGTATGAGATGAAGTTGTGAAAGCGTCATGCGGATAATGGTCAATTTGTGTAGGTTGACCTTGAAGAACTGCCAAGTTCGCAGGAGAACATTTTGAAAAGAAATGTTAAGGATCGTTTGAAGTGGTCGCCAATGAGTTTCGCTGGGGAGTTCTGAGGATAATCTTGCTATTTATGAACTCACGGCGAACTGGTCGATTTTGCATAATTCAAGGTTGTAACGTTCTTGCTGAGTATGGACCCGGTATGGGATTTTGGCTAACTATCCATCAATGTTCTACACAGAACAGTCACATGGTTTGAACACACTTCACATGGACCAGACGACATCCTTTCGTACTTTGGAACACAAAAACCAAAAATGTCTCGCTTTTAACGGATTTCCTCGTATGGAAAAAGGCTCCATAGTACCAAATGGAAAATGCCGTCGTCACTTGTGGTGCATGGCCTGCACCCGACACTTTCTCGCTTTTTGAAGGGAGGGTAGGTATAAATACTGTCGTCGTTGCTGAACTCTACCCGCATGGTTTTACATGACCTATGGGTTATGCCAAGGCTTCTCAAGGATACAAAGTACGGAATCGAGCCTCTGAACTTATTTCCAGTTGTTGCAGTGTTCGTATGACAAACTGCTCAATGCACTTGTACTCCTTGTACTTTTGATGAGGGGTCAATCCCGAGCTTGGCCAAACGTGCCCTTGTCGATGAAAGGTTGGAGTCTGAACAGCCGCCACTGTAATTTATCAGAAACAGTCGTAAGTTAATATACTTCCATTCGAGAGGGACTGATTTGGATAGAGCGTTTGCTAAAAAGTGATCTCAAGGTGGGCTACGCGCTGGCTCCCACCTTGAACTAGGACGATAATGTATGAGAAGGTCGCCGACTCGGTCAACCCCTCTCACTCATTCGAAGATCGCGTGACAGCATTCCGGTCGATAGTAACCATAGCGCCGTCGCAATTGGTTCAACCTCGTTCAACAGTCTATCTCCGCCCAAAAATTACCGTAGATGGCAGGGACGAGGGAGGAGAAAGAGGGGGGGCGCATATCGACTGCTGAGGGAAGGATGGTATACTAGTAGTGAGCGCTGGACAGCAAAATTTTACGTCGCAGTTTCATTTCCGGCCCAGCACCCACACACTGTCCCTCTCACAAATTCCCAAAATTTCAAATACAACCTTCCTTTTTTGCTTTTCAAACGAAACAAGTATGAATTTGTGAAACAGATTCCTTTCACAGTGGTGAATCTAGAAAAACGTTGAAATACCCTGCTGCTACCGTAGGTGAGTTTTGGCACAGGTACACTGATTCTTACAAAAACTTGAATAGCCAGCGAATGTGTTATTCAATGTGTTTCATTATTTCAGATGAGTCGCAAGATCAATCATATGTAGTTCCGGGATGCAGGTGATATTGGAGTCGAAAGAAGCATGAAGGACGATCCGCTAGTTCTTCCACAGTTCGCATCTTTTAGGCACTTAACACTTGGTCTGAGATGTCTCCACGGGAGGTCTCAGGCTCATCAAACCTAGCTATTTTACTTTACAGCAGGCCACAAAAACCTCCATCCAGTCATTGGTTTAGTAGGATCATAAACTGTTTTGAGCTGTTGACTTCTTTCTCATTGCCACCACATGTGAGTCGGCCACTGGGCAGCTGGCGTATGGCGCCTGTTCAGTCAGACCCGCTCAGTCGTCGGCTATCACTCGCCCCCTCTTCAGCTTCTTACACGTCACAGCCATCTCCTCCCTCACCTCTGGCCAAGCTTTGTTTGTTTCCGGGTACGGAAGGAAATGGCGCGTTCACTCAACTGGTTTTTGTCACCAATACCTATTCTCAAACTATGTCAAGCGGTAAGTTTTTGCCAATATTCCTAATTCCCCATATTCCGGATCTCGCTTCCTTGAACTATTTTGGCTATTGCTTTTTCTCGCATTGGCCTAGCAATACTCGTCACTACTTCCCCCAAGTGGAAGCCTTACGTATTCCCCCACTTTTGCGTCTTAAAGAATGTCCCCTGCCTTTGACTGTCACACGATGACCCACTCGTGCGTCAAAGGCTTTCCAAATACAGGCCAGGTCTACGGCTTTTATCGCCGAGAATTGGCTTTTGTTGCTCCAAGGCAGTAAATAATATATGCGCTTTATGGAAAAGAAGTGAATCTGCAGGGGTGGCAAAAAAAAGAGACACTTCCTCTCCACATCTCAAACAGCATTGACTCACACTTTGCTAAACTCGAACCGAGCTCTCCCGACTCAGTTTAAAGAGCACATCCCGTTCTATCAATGAAAGTTATAATAGCTTTCCGCAACGAAGACACCACAAGAATTTGCCACATTAAATCGCCCCACGGTCGAGCTCGAGCTGGTGGAACTCGATGGATCATGACCCATTACATTACGTTATCTGAAAACGTATGGTCGGTAAGGGGTTTTCATTTCAGGCGCTAGCTACACCCAGGAAGCAATTGCAGTGAATCGATTTAGACATCCGATAGTACCTAGCTTCCAGAAGGACATTGACGGTACGGCTTCTTGACGAGAGGGACATATTTTGAGGACGGTAGGCGGAGGAAGAGAGCCTCCTCCTACTTATGGGAGGACATCTAAGGGATAATTTGTACATTTGATTTGAACTTTTACATTTGATAATTTTGACCATTTTGATCAAACGAGCGTGCACCAACATTGGTGATGTGCGCCATGGGCTAAGTATTCCTTGTTAATTTTCGGCCACCCCTGTATACAGTTGCACTAATTTACAGTAGCCGTTATACCTACGACTGAAATGGTTCTTGGCGAACTACTCCTATTTTGACGCCTCAATTTTTTATAGTTTTTTTTAAATCGTACTTTTTTAGAACATTTAAAAAGTCAGATGTAATAAAGTGGCAATCTTTTCAAACTAAACTCAAGGAAAGGAAAGTAGTGCGGAAACGTCCTAGGGAGGTCTGACCTTTGAAGAACTATATGAACTTTTTGGTTGAGTTTACAGGAAGGTTGTTTATGGAAGCACAAAAGTGGCTCAACAGTATCGATGACTCTCAACGAAACGAGCACTTTGTTTGTGTAAACAGCTAATCTACTAATGCTGTGCAATAAATGCCAGCCCATATTTGCCAAGGCAGAGGCAGCATCGAGTATTCCACAATTGTCAGCTCCTTTGAAAGAGTGCAGCCCATCCGAATTTTACTTAGCATCGTAGAGGCTTCTAGTTTATACTACAAGTATCAGAGCCAGCAGATGCCCATGTGAGGTTTTTACGGGACATATTACTGTGCAATGGATGAGTGCTTCTTTACGTGTGTGTGTAGGTGTTAGATGTGTTTATTGAGAAGAGCATTCAAAAGGCGTAAGAATGAGAGCTTATGGATTTCAAGAATACATGAAATTTTTACGGACTTTGATTGTTTCGGCTGTAAAAAGTCACTCCGACCCTCTCTCAGTTGGGGGCATCGGTACTTTAGGCTCCAAGTGGGCGCCAGTTGGCTGGGAGATTTTCGGATGGCACGGCATATCGATACGTACCGTACCATTTCAATCACTGGGAGTAATGAGTTTGTATTCGCAAGATTAGATCTGACAATCGTGCAAGTGCAATTAGCCTTTTTGGAAACTGTGATACTTGTTCTACATTTCTTAGTAACAGACGGTTCTTCATGTGGAGGGAGCTAATGCTGTTTGTTAATAGTCTTAACGTCAGAAGTCAAATCGTACAAATACGAGAATCAGCATTCTTGGCCTAATCTTTCGATCTGAAGCTATTTAATATGGAATTTCGTTGGAAATAAGAGCTGAATAAGGGGATAAAATGAAAAATGTCAACTATCACATGTAATATACTTAAATACAAATTATAAGAATTAGGGGTGCTAACTTAGTTGGGGGGGGGGGGCACGCGGCGGCGCGGCAGTCTGCTCACCTGGGCTCTCTCGAGCGAGACAGTGTAAACTCGAACATTCCAGCTTTTCACGCATGTCAAGTGACTGCCCTCACCCCCCACCCCCTAGGCCACGGATTCGAACTTTCGAAAACATGCGGCGAGCAGACTGCCGCGCCGCCCCGCGTGCCCCCCCCCCCCCAACTAAGTTAGCACCGAATTAGGACTCAAATAAAGTGGAATAACTGTAAAAACTGTAAAACTGGTCTTAGAAAATGCTGTCAGACGTATCCTCAGCTTATGATGAGCAAAAGTAGAGCATAGAAAGTACTAAGATTTCGACAAGCAAATCTAAAAACAAAAATACGCACGAGATTCCGGGTCTAACATTAAATATGACTTTTATGAATAAGAGGTCAGTGGCACAATAAGAAATGATGGAAGAAATTGAGCTCTGAAAAGCGAAGGCTCCAGCTAGCAGCTGCGAGTTGAAATGTTATTCTTTGATGATTGATCCGGATCGCTTTCACTCAGGGAAAGCAACACGAGATCTCTGTGATATGATGCTAAGATAACATTTTACGAAAAGCCGTGATAAAATTTCGAAAATGAAATCGAAGGGAAGCAACGGAACAAAAGCGAGCCTTTCAACTCTCGTTATATAGATTTTGTCATTTCCTGAAACAGCACAAAAAGTAGCCGAAAATTGATTAGCTGGCAAGTGTTCCTTGTAAAAAAAACTTCTTACAACGCAAATGACATCTGTGATACTCACATTCATTTCCTGGTTCTAGTTTGAAGAAATATAGAAAAGGACTGTATCAAAAGTTGAGCTGAGACTTCAGTATGGGCTGTAAAGAGCTTATGATGAGCAAAAGTAGGGCATAAATAGTACTAGTATTTTGACAAGCAACCCTCAGAACAAAAATACGCACGAGATTTTCAGGTCTAACGTTAAACACGGCTTTTATGAAGCCCTTTTCGTAGCGGCTTGCTGCACTATGTAAATCGCTTCTAATGATTTTTGATTGTTTTTGTTTGTTAACTGCTGTTTTTGGCCGCAGTTCGCCTTGCGAATGTTTCACAAGAATGCTGGGTTGTGAACAAAACTTTCGCCCCAGGCGGGACTAGAACCCGCACCTCTCGCTTTCCGGGCAAGTGCGCTACCAGTTACGCTACCGGGGCACCATTTCATTCCAACTCAGCTTTTCATGGTATACGTACCATAGCTTTCAGCACTCACACGTATAACGTGTTGAGCCGGTTAGCCGATATCGGCAATGACCGCGAGGCTGAAAGCTTTAGCAATGAATTTTGACTTGTTTTGTTTGAAACTTGTTTTCAATGAATATTTCAAACGCTCATTTAAAAGGTGTGTCTTCTCCTGGTGATCGTCTTTTTTATTGATGGACGAATTCAATGGAAAGCCTACACGCTCATTTACGGGATGGCATTCGTGCTGGTACTCGGATGCATCCTCACACTGCTTCTCCACTACTTCGAAGTTCCGAATAAGGGCGTTCTAAACAAAGTGCACGTGGGTAAATTTGGTGGAGGCGTTCTTTTTGTCGTTCGCTAACATGGATTGGATCCCTAAATTCAACTCCTCCTCCATATTGCCATTGTAAGGTACTATTCTACACAGATCATTTTTTGTTCACTGTGACAGGTCTTGCGATCCCGGGTGGATCCGCAAATATGAAGCCCTCCAAAAAGCTTCAAAGGTCATGCCTAGGAACTTGTCGATAGCATAAGGGGGAGAAGGGAGTTTGGAAAAAAATAGATATTTGCATAGCAGAAGTAAGGATTCGACGAGCAGTGGACTTGCGATCTGCGACGCGCGGTCATTCACCTCTCATTGGAAATCCCCTTCCCCCCCCCGCAAAAACCGCCTGCAACGGGCCTATAGTAGGGTGTACAGGGGGGTGAGATAATACATGGAAAAATAAACACTTGGAGTGGTTCAAGTAAATGGGAAGAATATCAACTAATGACAAGGGCTATGGAATGCACGATGTGATGATCAGAAGAAAAAAAGCGCTCACTATTGCTTCGAGGAAACGGGTAAATTATTGTAGATGAAGAAGCGGTAATGTATACACCATGAAAAGGAGGTGGGGTGTAGTTCTCTAAAGGACGGAGATGTAGCGAGCTCTATCGCAGTAGATGAGCCGGCAACCGTAAGAAAGCCCTAAATCAAGGTCTGCCCGTTAGTGGCGTAACGCCCTCTGCCGAGGAAAGCGCACCAAAAAGTATACCAAGGTTGAGAAGCTGAGATGGTTAAGTAGGTAACGTGGCCGGGGGTGTAATGGTTACAAAGGTCATCGGGGTGGGCTCTCCTCTTTGGAAGCATTCCTCCTCAGACGTATGCATCTTTTACTTTGTCTGTGTAATGCATTATGAGTTCAATCTGAAGCTTATCGCTATACTGGTGGTTATTGTGGTAAACTCGTCCAAACGACCCAGTTCACTAAAAATCCGATTACCTTCTGTGTTGAGAAGTACTCAGGTCCCACGCATCTATGAAGCTTTACAGTGGTCCCCACTACTTGGAATCAGCACTGCAGGAGACCTTGGATGAAATAAGCACCACTCACCTCTTCGTCACGGTCAACGGGTTGCCCAAAATTGTCTGAGCTTGAGGTGGTGGTGTGTGGGGATCGCTGCGAAAGGAAGTAGCACTCCTTGTTGTTTTCGGTGTATATTTAGTCACTAATAATCATTTCCTATTTCGTGCTCACATCACTTTTTATGCCCCATTTTTATTGGTTCGATTTTCTACCCTGTAGTGCAATTGCCAGGTTTTTTCTTCCGAGTTATTTATGATGATTTCCCTTCCGTAGGCTATAAAAACAACACGTGACATTCAAAGAGGATGTCTGTTGTACACTCAATGTTACGCGAAGCCGAAAAGAAATCGTTTTTCGACCAACGAACGAACATCGCGAACATATGTTCGCAGCGGGAAACGATGGGAAGCCTCTGCAGGCAAAAAGTGGTGGACAACCTTTTTCATTCGCCAAGGGCGGAAGTGTTTCAAAGGCTGAAGTAAACCGTGGCCAACTCATTCGGCAGAAACAGATGATGTAGCAGCAATCATCTCGCTGCTTGTATAATTGAAACTCAGAGTTAATCCTGTTTAATGAAAACTTCCATATCTACACAGTTATTTAGCCGGTAACACATTCGTCAACGGAGGAGAATCACTAGCACCAATGCCCACAAAATTGCGGCAAATTATTAGCTTGAGCAATAATTATCCGCCGTTTTTTCAGGCTCATGGTTCTTTGATTTTTTGCTGATTATTTTCAAAGATTATGTAGTCTGAAAGCGCTCAATCTCTTGTACATTTTGATGTACAACACTTGTGTATTTACTTCACTATGGAGCTTACACACTAGCAAAAAAGATTGCCCCTGCTACATGAGTGCAAGTTGAGCTCGAAACCGAATGCTTCTGCATCTGCTCGTAGAATCAATGAAGCCTGGGATGAAGGCACGGATTGTAGGGAGGACTGTTCAAGAGCGTTTGTTGATTACGCACTTATTGTCCTTTTTGTTTTGTTTTGTTAATAAACTTATGAGTGAAATGGAAAGGCGCATAATTTTTGCTCAACCCAATCGAATAGCGAGGGGATAAATCTGGTTTCTAGCAATGGCGGGAACCGGCAGATAGTCAGACTTTCCGCTGCGTTTGTCTGCTTATGCTCCTGGGGGATTTTTTTTGGAGGGCGGTTTCACAAGGAAGGAAGGAAAGGTTTTTTGAGCCAATTAGGCTGACGTTGATGTTTGATGGTGTTGGTAGAGCATCGAAGATCAACCTCTGAATAACCAGTTCTCCTTGCACTTGGAAGTGGAAGACTGGTGAAGTAGAGAGTAAAAAGATGGGATAACGGAGAAGTGGATCTGAGCCTAAAGATCTAGGTGACTGCATTCTACAAGAGCGTGCTGTAGGGGAACGGTTCGAGTTCGCTGTTGGAGCTGTATTACAATATTAGCCTCTCATGAGCCCCTGCCACGTTCCGATTTAATCTGGGCACATAACATGTCAGCTTGTATTTTATATTTTGTATTTTTTTTAATATATATATATATCTCAGTCCACAAAAGTTTTTATAATATGTTCCCACACCATCGCCCGGACGTTAATACTGTTAGGATCATTCAGCAAGGTGTCGTTGCAAAGATGTTGACGACTCACAAACTGTTCTCTGGTTTATCGCCATAGATGCAGGCAGAGCTATAATGTATATATATGCTGGTCAAAACTTCTCGGATATGTCTCCTGCTCGACAGCTATTCAGTAACCTAGATGTGTATGGAACACTTTCGGCCTGTGCAACGGCTTCGAGGAGGCTATCAATGTTTTGAGCCCTTCCTGATCATAATAGAAATCATAGACTTCGAAAAATTGGGGGGGCGGGGGGTAGAGGAGTGCGAAAGGGGAGTGAGTATAGAAAGCAGGGCCAACGTGTCGATTGCACAGCTCTCGATGGGGAGGGCGCGATCCGGGGTTTGCGTAAGGGTATTGTCTTACAGGTGAGCTTGTATTTTTTTATTTTTTTTTTTGTTTTTTTGGTAGACGAAGGTCGAAAGGCGTGTGGGTAACAGTTGAGAGAATTCGATGGGCCGTGGTAGTGGGAAAGGTTCGTCTTCGGCGGTGACAATTTCGGCTGTTGTTCCAGTTCCAGAAATCAAACGACTCCCCTACCCCGATCATCATCACCGCCATCGTGACTGCTTTGTTCAGTATTTGATTCTGTGATCAGTCGACACGCTTCAACTCTGCCCATTTTCCTACGAAACGGCGTTCGAGCGAAGGGGAGAGGGGAGGGAGGGGCGCTGTTGGACGGGTTAACTATGGCTAGAGAAAATGAAGAAAATATTCTAATTCTGTCCATTTCTGTTTCCTCCCTGACTTTTCCGGGAGGAAGAGAAGGGAGCAGTTTATTTGAGCGCGTAGGATTGCGTTCCAGCCACTACCCGTGTTAAAGGAATCTTCACGGAAAAATCATGATTCTATTTCAGCCATAAATCACTGGCTTGAGACTCATTATCCACGATAAGAATGAAAAGAACAGAAATATTGCTTTTTGGTAAAAATTCGAAAAATCGAAAGGCTGCTACGCGTTCAAATTGCCCACGGACGTCTTTCACAAATGCTGGCGACGGGGATGCTTCCACTTGGTTCTTGGAGTGCCTTCACTAGAAACTCTTTCTGGCCTTCTGCTTCATTGCATTCACATCTTACACTTCTACTCCATCCTATTCTATCGATCGATTTGTCTCTACTCTCCGAAATCGCGCGCTTTAACCCGATTCTTTCATTGCGTCGCCTGATACGTAGCCGGCCAAAGGCCAACTTCTTTCCATGCCTCGCCTTTGGCTCCGCCCGAATTACCTTCGATGTCCATAACGTGTAGTTTTTGTACGTTTGTTTCTCTTCGGAAACCGAATCTTCATGCGTGAAACTTTGTGTGCTATTTCCAGTGATCACAACTGACACATTCATGTCAAGAAAGAATGCAAGAATTTTCCGCGAAAGATTCCTTTAACAACTGTGCATAAAATTCCAGCGTTTGCTCGTGCCACAGAATAGGACGATTCGGCAAACAGGGTTTTAAGGACTGGAAGCAATGCAAACTTTCTATCGTTGCTGGCAGCTCATTATGATCGCGTTTCTATTTAGGAGCTCTTATGGAATGCTGTCTGCTGTGCTCTGTGCGCTGTCGGATGTGTAGTACTCGTGTGGGACTGGTGGCAAATACGTGCCGGACGTCATCACCATCACTCCACATTGGCACCTCGAAATATTGGAGAATCGCGATGGCTGAGACGAGTCGCCATTGTCGCGGTGAGTTGAAGTGTTTGTCAGTGAGTTGAGAAATCACGCGAGTGTCCGGCGCGAGCAGCGCATGAGTTTCCAGCGTTCCATCCGGGGTTCGGTTGAACCAGTGAACAAATTTGTTGCACTGCACACAGAACCCTTCTAGAAATACTACACAAGAAGTTTCACCCCAAATGAAGTTTAAGGTGCCAGTTGCCACTTACAGCCCTCCCAAATAAGTACCGACGATATGCAATGGAGGGGATGTGGTGAGGCAGGAGGTTGTGTGGGCGCTGATGGCAGGGGAAGTGAAGCGGTAAATAAAATGTTGTTCCGTGCTAGGAATAAGGTACTGCAGAAATATGTCTCATGACTTTCAACTTTATTCTCAACTTTTGTAGTATTAGCGCAGAAAGTTTGAGGTTTAGGGGTATCACCCTGAACCCTCTTCTGGGGATCACTAGGGACATCTCAAGATTGAGATGAGGTTTTCTTGGAAGCCCTGTCTTACCTTTCTTCATTGCTGGTAGAGCAGAGCGGCTGGGAGCTAGCCAGGTCGCGGGGCCTTGGTTCTCGCAGGACACGCAGCAATCCAGCAGCACCCTCTTAGAGGGAAGGGCGTAGGAGGCGGTGAGGCTAAGAGGTAGGAAAGTGAAATAGGTTGACCTCAGTACTTGTTGTTATAAAGGGATTAATATCTGATATCACCCGAACTGATACTTACAACTTCACAATAATTGGTAGAGATGGAGGCCGGGGAGAGGGCACTTCGCTGTTTTGTCCTTTGTACTAGAACACTCTTTTTAACACATTCACGACGACGCCCCTTTTTTCCACTTTTCGGTCGCGTGGGACGGGCGTGGGCGCCGCCGCCTCACCACATCACCTCAGATTTTGTACTGTAAATGAACAAAAACATGAATGCCACAAAATGATTTCAGCAATGTTCAATGTGTAAAGATTATCTAAACATATAATAGTAGTATTTCGATCAGAACGACGAATAGTGGTTACGAAAAGAGAGCATTTATTCGCTTTCCCCGTGAAGGATTTTGAAAAGCATTTCTCACTCGATTACGAGATTTACCCACCTATCTGTCCATTCCTAGCGCCTGGCAAGCGATTATCAGCTTGGCAGCCCATATGGGCTGCCATCGTCCCAGGAGCGCATGTTGTTGGCAGCCCATATGGGCGGCCATCGGCGTGAATGTGTTAAGCTCTACATACAACACTAAGGATAATATAATACATAAACGACTCATTACACG